TAATCAGAATCACTTTCATTAATGACAGGTGTATGTTACTTTGGAAATGATTTTGAATGTGACTGGTTAACTCTGAACACAGCTACAGCCCCCATTATAAAAGGGTGTGCACACTTATGCAACCAGGGTGTTGTAGGTTTTTTAATTTCAATTAGTTTTTCCTAATAATTATCTATTTGTTTTCCTCTTGAATTTTGTCGGTTGCAATGTCACATTAAAGATGGAAAAATGTCTGACATGATTTATCTTGATTTCTGGCTTTATATCATAAAAATCTGCAATTTTAATAAGGGTGTGTAGACCTTTTATATCCACTGTACTGTATATGTAAAATCCTTTTCAAAGAGCCCATGCATGCACATATTTGTGTCTTCAAGAAAGGGCTTGCAATAATGTTATATATTATACATTACATATTATACATATTTTTTTTGAATCCTATACAGTAGCTATATAAATATATATGCAATAACTAAAAATAATTACAAATATTCAAAGAAAATGAATTGTTTTTAACCAACACAGTTCATATATTATTGAACAGAATGTTATGCTGATAACTCTTATATGGGAAGAATGCCACCTATAGCAGAATGTTTACTACACTGTAATCAAAACAGTCCAGCCAGTCAAGAAACCAAATAGCTTGACCAGGAAAAAAATTGGAGAAAAGATCTACGAGCCATTTTTTATCTATCATTTTGTTTCAAGGTGGCAGATATTTCGGGAAATTCCAGGAGAGAAAAGACCTTTCTGGTCGGAAGATGTCTTGGGTTTCCGGTTCATGACGGGTGCCGAACTGAAGAGGTTCCCACAACACAAGGCTGGATATGCCTTCACCACCATAAAGTGCGAGTGTTTGACATACCTTCCATGGCTTCAGAAAAGGTAGCTGTGTCACTTGTTTTGTCTGTGTTAAAATGCACCCTTTAAATACTGCAGGAAAAGAAAAGGTTTCTTCTTATTTTATACAAGCATGTTTGTACAATTTCTTTCATATCTGAAATGTTTTATTTTCTGAATTATGTTGTGAGCAAGCAGCAAGTTGAATTTACTGGCCACTTGTATTGACCACTTGTAATACAAAAATGACTAGGTTTCAGTCCATGTGGGTAAGAGGATACTGATTCAAGGGCATAAACAAATGAATCCTTTCCTATCGACAAAACACTCTGATGCAACTGGTCTAGGTCCATTTATGATTAACTGTGTGGCTATTGGTGTGTGGGCTGACTGTGCTGAAATGAAGCACATTGCAAGAAGGGGTCATGGCTAGTATCCAAGGAAGGAAATAGTCCTGCAAAGAAACCTGAGCTACTCTCATGCAAGTTTCCAGGAAAGACAAGACCAGGAAACCTTGATGAATAGCCAAGTTCATCAAAGCAGGCAAGTTGATGAATGAAGAATGAAGGTTCAAAAAGGACAAAATGGCATGGTGTAAGATTTTTAAAATTTGTAATTATATTACAAATTATATTATTATATTATTAAATTGTGCCACAGGTTCCTGTCTAAATTTTATATTTATGTAGGGTTAAATTGTTTAAAATGTGATCCAATACTTTTCAATATTTCTCTAGCTCTTTATTTTCTAAAAAAATTACAAGGACATCATCAGAACGGTGGAGCAGAGTTAATATTAAAATGTAGCCTAATTTGAAATTACTCCGATGAAATGCAGGGTAATGTGTTTAACACTTTGATATGGTTACATTTAGGTCTCCATGTAATGGGAAAAATCAATAATGGGGTGACATTACAGTGGTTTGTCCTCACATCATGTCTAATGCAGCAGCTCAGGATAAGTTAATTTGCTGAAAAAAAAAACGTTTGAATGACTTACAGGTAAAACCTTTGACCTAATGGATCTTGGGTCCTGAGTTTCAGACTTGAATACCTCTCTGTGTGGCATTCACTTGTTTTCATTGCAGGTTTTACCAGCTATGCTCTAAACAAGCTCAATCAGCTCATTATTGGCTTTAATGAGATCAACTTTACAGCTTTTCCCAGCTCCTAAGGTGTTGTTGCTTTGCTTTGAGTCTAGAAAACGTGCTTCCAGGATCAAGACTGTGGTCTGGTGGCTGTGGATAGCGGATGGAATGATGAATAGAGCAGGAAGTGTTGTGAAAGTGTTTGTTCTAGGAAAA